TCTATGGTACCGGAGACGAAGCCTATTGAAAATGGTTACTATCGGTCCATTATTTCACCTAGCCCCCATACAACTGTACCCCTCGAATAGGGCTTTTAAAACTTGTAATCAAACTACAGGTCGCAATTTTGGAGATAATTCAATGAAATTTGGCACATGATCTTTTATGGTACCGTAGATGAAGCCTATTGAAAATGGTTACCATTGGTCCATTATTTCACCTAGCCCCCATACAACTGAACCCCCGAATAGGGCTTGTAAACCTTTTAATCAAACTACAGGTCGCAATTTTGAAGATAATTCAATGAAATTTGGCACATGATCTTTTATGGTACCGTAGACGAAGCCTATTGAAAATGGTTACCATCGGTCTATTATTTCACCTAGCCCCCATACAACTGAACCCCCGAATAGGGCTTTTAAAACTTGTAATCAAACTACAGGTCGCAATTTTAGAGATAATTCAATGAAATTTGGCAGATGATCTTCTATGGCACCGGAGATGAAGCCTATTGAAAATGGTTAACATCGGTCCATTATTTCACTTAGCTCCCATACAACTGAACCCGACGAATAGGGATTTTAAGTTCATAATTATGTTTAATATACTCATATCTCGACAAAAAGCTCCAAAAACCAAGTTGTATACAAGACTTGATGACCCCCATGAATTCCATAATAATAGGTTCTCATATGACCCTAGCCCCTATGAAAAGCCCCATCAAAATTTCACTTAAATGTCCACAATTTTATTCAACAATAAACGGCTTAAGTATGTATATCTAAGGTAAGGTACAATTCAACTTAAATGCTTTATTATGGCAACTAAATCACATTATATTTTTGTCAAAGGTGTAGGGTATTACATGGTCGGCCTCGCCCGACTATAATTTCTTACTTGTTTTTATATTCAATTAGACAGGAATGTATGTAAGTAATCGCTGATCGTGCTCACCATACTGCTAATTGTACAACAAGTTTGTTTTTGTTTCCTATCCAATCTTGTCCATTACAAGACTTATTTCATTAGTACATCTTGCCTGAGGGAAAGAGCATAGAATAGTTTTTCTTGTAAATGTAAATTTTGCATACATTATCCGAAGATCTGATCAATGTGTATGTCAGACATCTAGTCGCTTGTTTTCGCCAGTTTAACAGCAATTAAATAATCATGTCCCCGTACCCATATAACTTGGACTGTTTAATGCCCTGAAATGCCGAGCATCCTAAACTCGCCATTCTTTTTAAGGATGCCCCGGGTGGTATACGCAGCTGTTAGGGATTTGATGGCAGCTTGATATGTATGTTCTGTGATATCATTAAAAGTTAACTGAATGCTCCTTTAACCAGTCCTTTTCTGCATTTCGATTACGTTTCCGCATTCAGTTACGATACGATCGAAAAATGGTAATCCAACAACAAAAAAGGAATTGTAAGAAAAGAAGAAGTTATTCCATATCATTTTAATGCATTACGTCTAGACCAAATACTATACAATAGAGAATATACTATTGACTAGACTATATACTAAACTATGTATATATATATATAAAAATGAATGTGTGTTTGTTTGTATGTTTGAACGTTATAGACTACTAAACGGCTGAACCGATTTTATTAAAATTTTCATAGCGTATTACTGTATGTCTGGAATAGGTAATAGGCTACTTTTTATTTTGAAATTTCAAGTAGGCGAGGAGCCACGCCCATATTAAGAAAATATTAAATCCGTATATTTTAGATAATATAACAGTTAGACTCCTCAAGTCGGAGCAACTTTAGTGTCAATATTATTATTTAGGACAAAAAGTAGGCGGACTAGCATTAGGGGGCGTGGCACCTCCCATATAAATTAAATATAAAAATACGTTTATCTTGGAAACTATTATAGTTAGAATCTTCAAATTTTGCACGAATAACTTTAACATCCATCTAAACATTTTGGGTAATAATTTGGCGGACTACCCATGAGGGGAGCGGCACCTCCCATATTAATTAAAGACAAAAATTCGTTTATATGAATCAAATAGAAAAATTCGTATATCTGAGAAACTATTAGAGCTAGAATCTTATAATTTTACATGAAGAACTTTGAAATTTATGTGAACATTTAGAGCATAACGGGCGGACTTTCAATGGGGAACTTGGCACCTCCCATATGCATTAAATATAAAATTTCGTTTATCTGGGAAACTAATAGAACTTGATTTATAAAATTTTGCACAAATTAGTTTAGTATTCATCTGAACATTTTGGACTTTCATGTGAGGGCTTCAAGCTCAAATAGAAAAATTCGTATATCTGAGAAACTATTAGAGCTAGAATCTTAAAATTTTACATGAAGAACTTTGAAATTCATGTGAACATTTAGAACATAACGGGCAGACTTTCAATGGGTGGCTTGGCACAACAACATATATTAATTAAATACAAAATTTCGTGCATCTTGGAAACTCTTATATTATTCAAATTTTTTATAGATAGATAGAAATTGGCGATAGATAGAAACTGGCGTCCTGGCAATAATTTGCTTGACATCTCTCATATGTAACATATTATAAATCTGGAAAACTATTGTAGTTAGGATCTTCAAAATCGTTAAGTGTGATTATACCCTACATCACTTTAGTGGGGAGGGTATATTGGATTTGTGCTGATGTTTGTAACATATAAAAATATTCGTCCTAGACCCACCTTAAAGTATACCAATCGGCTTAGAATCGTTTTCTGAGTCGATTAAGCTATGTCCGTCCGTCCGTCCGTCTGGCTGGCTGGCTGTCCATGTAAACCTTGTGCGCAAGCTACAGGTCGCAATTTTCAAGATAATTGGATGAAATTTGGCACGCACGTTTTATTTGACTATTGAAAATGGTTAAAATCAGTCCATTATTTCACCTAGCCCCCATAGAACAGAACCCCCCGAAAAGGGCTTCTGAGCTCATAATTATGTTAAATATACAGATATATCGATAAAATACATCATAACTAAGTTTTATAGAAGTCTTGATAACCCTGCCATATTTCATAAAGATCGGGCCCCATTTGACCCTAGCTCCCATATAAAGTCCCCTTCAGAAAATTATTTGAATGTCCCAAATTAACTTATAAACACAAATATCGCGATGAAATTCAGCACAATAAAATATTATGTAAATATAAATATATTCACAAAATTTTATCGGGCTTGGCCCATATTTGCCCCTAGCCCCCATATAAAGCCTCTTTCAGAAAATTAGTTTTTCATCCATAAATTGCTTAAATGTATCGGAACAAGGGAATATTGAAGATAAATGCGATATTATGAAAAATAAATCACATTTAATATTCATAACTGGTGTAGGGTATCATATGGTCGGCCACGCCCGACTATACTTTCTTACTTGTTTTTATTTATACACTTCCTTTTATGGGAGCAAAGCACACTGGGTATAGCTAGTAGTCTATAAACTAAACTATAGACTAGACTATAAACTAAACAATTGACTAGGCTATACTATAAATTAGGCTATAGATTAGACTATAAACTAGGCTATAGACTAGATTACAGACTAGACTATATACTAGACTATAAACTATACTATAGACTCAAATATAGACCAGACTATAGAATAGACTATACTATACTCTAGACTATAGTCTAAACTATAGACTATTAGACTATAGACTAAACTATATACTAGACTATAGACTAGGCTATATACTAGACTACAGACTAGACTGTATACTATAGACTAGATTATAGACTGGACTATAGACTAGACTAAATAATCACCCCTATTCCGCATTTTGATAACGTTTACTCATTCCAACAAAAACAAGTAAGAAAGTATAGTCGGGCGTGGCCGACCATATGATACCCTACACCATTTATGAATATTATATGTGATTTATTTGTCATAATAAAGCATTTATCTTCAATATTCCATTGTTCCGATACGTTTAAGCAATTTGTGGATGAAAAACTAATTTTCTGAAAGAGGCTTTATATGGGGACTAGGGGCAAATATGGACGAAGCCCGATAAAATTTTGTGAATATATTTATATTTACATATTTTATTGTGCTGAATTTCATCGCGATATTTGTGTTTATAAGTTAATTTGGGACATTCAAGTAATTTTCTGAAGAGGACTTTGTATGGGAGCTAGGGTCAAATGGGGCCCGATCTTTATGAAATTTGGCAGGGTCACCAAGACTTCTATAAAACTTAGTTGTGCCGTATTTTATCGATATATCTGTATATTTAACATAATTATGAGCTCAGAAGCCCTTTTCGGGGGTTCTGTTCTATGGGGGCTAGGTGAAATAATGGACCGATTTCAACCATTTTCAATAGGCTTCGTCCTTGGGTCAAATAAAACGTGCGTGCCAAATTTCATCCAATTATCTTGAAAATTGCGACCTGTAGCTTGCGCACAAGGTTTACATGGACAGCCAGCCAGACGGACGGACGGACATAGCTTAATCGACTCAGAAAACGATTCTAAGCCGATTGGTATACTTTAAGGTGGGTCTAGGATATTTTTGTATGTTACAAACATCAGCACAAATCCAATATACCCTCCCCACTAAAGTGGTGTAGGGTATAAAAACTAAAAAGTAGGTATTCCAACAAAAAACTAAAAAGTACTTTTTGTTATAAGTTAGTACATACTAATTCAAAGTTTCAATATTCCATGCCTGATTTTACCAATGTCGAATATAGCGACGAATAGTTCCTTGTGGTAATAGAACCAATTTTGTAAATTTGTTACCAAAATCCTATATATTACTTACTTTTGCTCCTCCATAAAACAAAATCAATTAAAAACGCTTGATGCTAATTATTTAAAATAATTTATATTTATTTTTGTTTAATTATAATCTGTATTATTGTTTTATGTTTACAATGTTGTTAGGTGGTATATTTTTATGAATTAATTAAAAAAAAATATATTTAAAGACAAAAAATACAAATGAAAAGTTTTAAAAATAAAAAATAATAAAAAAAAACTTCTAGTGTAACATACACTTGGACACCAATTAACACAAATAAATGCCAATTTTAACTAACAAAAAAAAACTCTTTAAAAGCGTCTAATGGGTTGTTTGTTTTCCTTTCAGTTGTTATTATAAACAAATGATTATTGTTTAAAGTAAAGTGTGTTAGGATTAGACGGCTTTTTTTTTCATAAAAAAATTAATCTTTGAAGAGTTTTAGCCAAAATAATAATGAAACATAATATGATGAAAAAATATATAAAAAAAATAACTTAAAAATATAAATAATAAACGAAAGTTTAGTAAAAAAAAAGTAATAAAAGAATCAGTCGTTTTTGAAATTGTTTGAACATTATTTTTATAAAAGTTTAAAGCAAACAAATTTTAGAAAATTTTTTTTTAGAAAATAAAAGTTTAAAGTTAAGAGAATATCGCATATTTATGTAGCCAGCAAATGCGATTTGGTTTTATGGGAAAAGTTGGAAAAAGAAACAGAAAGTCTAAATTTAAGAGAGAGAAGAAAAACTATACAAATACAGCTGCTACTTTTTGAGTCATAGTTTTGCCAAGTTAAGCAAATCAAGCCAAAATTGCTGTGGGGGGATTCCCTAACAAGATATTAAAGCCGAGCCGCGCCGCGCCTATAGTTTCAAAAGCAAATGAGTTGAGGTTTTTTTGAAAAGTGAAACGGATTTTTGTGCATTTCTTAAGTATTTCATAGGTTCAACATCACATTTAAGCCATGATGTGTAATGAAACAAAATTTATTAAATGTTTTTTTCCAAAGAGAAGAATCATATTTCGTGAAAGTATATAAAAATGTATTTTATGTGTGTGTGTGTTTTCTTTCTAATTCCAGCTTAAAAGGGCTTACAATACTTCTTTTTTTTTTTGAGCAAATTATACAATTTTTATTTATTTTAATATAATTATAATTCAAATTAGCAAAATTTTGTAATGAATTGTCAATAGTTGGGTGTTAAAGTTAAATAGGTATTTAAAATCCCCTTTAAGCTTAGAATTGAAATATAAAGTTGTAAAAAAAAAATCCTTAAAAAAACAATTATACTAACTATATATATAAAGGACTACGTAGTAGATGATGATTATTTTGTTCTAAGTGTTGGTTTAGAAACTAATTAATAATAAATCATGTATTTGTTGGAAATACAATTATTTTCTTTACTTGTTGTAGTTGTGGTAATATATTTCTTAACACTAATAATACTTTCTACCTTATGCCCGCCGTTCCAATTACTTGCTGCTGATGATGGAATCCATTAACGTACTGTATAATTCAGAACGCATGGAAACCTTTTGGAATTTCGATGCTTGATATTTTGTATACACAGCCTTGAGTTTAGCATGAGGAGCATTGCGTGCCACCGAAGCAATCTTCTTGGCAATGGGTCTCAAATGTTCGGCTGAATATCTGGAATACCATTCTAGTGTAGAGTTCCAGTGTTTATTGCTTAAGCCGCTAGACATATTGCTATTTTCTTTTAATAGATTTAGTGATAAAAAGAGGGAAGCTGCAGCAATCTGTAAATAATCGAAAAAAAGACTTCATAGAAAATTATCGGAAAATTTCCCTTTTTTTATAGAAAACTTTCGAAAATTTTCACTTTTTATAAGAAACTTTAAAAAATTTTTTATTTTAGTAGAATATTTTCGAAAAATTTCTATTTTTAGAAAATTATTTCTAAAATTTCTATTTTTATATAATTTTTTTTCGTAAATTTCTAAAAAAATTTTTGGAAAATTTTTTATTTTTATAAAAAAAATTTGGAAAAATTTCTATTTTTATAAAAAATTTTTGGAAAAATTTGTATTTTTATATAAAATTTTTGGAAAAATTCTATTTTTATAAAGAATTTTTGGAAAAATTTCTGATTTTATAGAAAATTTTTACATATTTATAGAAAATTTTAGATTTTTATAGAAAATTTTTGAAAAAAATATTTTATTTTTATAGAAAATTTTCTATTTTTATACAAAATTTTTGGAAAAATTTCTATTTTCATAGCAAAATTTCTATTTTAACATTTTTGGAAAAATTTCTATTTTTATAGAAAATTTTGATTTTTATAGAAAATTTTTGGAAAAATTTTGATTTTTATAGAAAATTTTGGAAAAAATTCAGTATTTTTTTTTTTGGAAAAAATTCTATTTTTCTAGAAAATTCCGAAAATGTTCTATTTTTCTATTTTTATAGAAAAATTTTTCGAAAATGTAAATTTTTATAGAAGTTTTTTTTCGAAAATTTCTATTTTTATAAAACATTTTTGGAAAAAAATTCTATTTTTATAGAAAATTTTCTAATTTTATAGAGAATTTTCGAAAAAATTTCTATTTTTATAAAAAATTTTCGAAAAAAATTAATTTTTTTGAAAATTTTCGAAAAATTTTTATTTTTATAGAAAAGTTTTATTGAGAATTTTTCAAAAATGTCTATTTTTAGAAAGAATTTTCGAAAAATTTCTTTTCTTTTTCCAAAAATTTCTATTTTTATAGAGAATTTTCGATAAATTTCTATTTTTATAATGAATTTTCGAAAAATTTCTATTTTTAGAGAGAATTTTCTATTTTGATAGAGAATTTTCGAAAATATTCGATTTCGATAGAGATATTACTGTCTCCTTATGGAAAATTTTCTTTTTTTTATAAAACATTTCTGAAAAAAAATTTTGGAAAAACTTTTCTTTTGAATAGAAAATTTTTCATTTCTCTTTTGAATAAAAAATGTATCGAAATTTCTTTTTGGAATAGAACATTTTTCAAAATTTATCTTTAAAAATGAATTTTTTATAAAATTTAATCTTTGAATAGACAATTTCTTAAAATTATCTTTAGAATGGAAAGTTTTTCAATTCCGTTTTTTAAATAAAATATTTTCGAAAAATTCGCTTTTTAATAGAAAATATTCCAATAATTCTTATTTGAATAAAAAAAATTTCAATTCAATTCCAAAAATTTTTCTTCTAAAGGAAATTTTTCAAACATTTCCCGTTTAAATGGAAAATTTTCGATTTTTTTCTTTCTTTTCAAAAAATTGTGTATTTTTTTTTTTTTTTTTTTTTTGATAACGATACCCACCTCTGATGGTTTATAATGAGACATATCGTATTCAATCATGGCCAATTCCAAAAAGTATTTTGACATGGCATGATGATTATCTTCAGCATCGGCCGCCTTAGAGAAACGACGCAAAAAGTGTATGGGCAAGGGGCGTGATAGATTGCAGCCCAAAGCCTTAAATATTTGCAATTCCATTTGACGTATCTGTTTACCGGTATAGGTATCATCGGTAATATAGATAAAATCAGCAATAGCTGGTGGGAAAAGCTCTTCATATTTGGCGGCTATAAAGAGAGCTGTAACACCCACCAACTGTAAATGTGAGCGTTTGGTATCCTTGACGGTTTGTAAATAACGATCAATAATAGCCACTGCCAATTGGAAAGTTTCAGCCACTAAATGGAATTGTGTGTGTACCTCATTTATCCAATCAATTAAGACGGCACGCATTTTAGCATAAACTTCCGCCTGACCCTCCAAATGATTCTTATGAACAGGCTGTTCAGCTTCCAATTTGAAAAGATAAGCATAAATGTCATTGACATATTCGGAAACTAAAATCAAATTTTCACCATCACCCTCATCAATATCTTTGACATCATCCAACAATTTGGATGAATGTGATTGTATACTGACAATTTTCAATTTGTCTTCTTTTTTCTCAATTTGTGGTAAATCTTTCTTAATGGCTAAAGAACCACCAGTAGAATTGCTTTTCACCAATGTAGGTTTTGTGGTGACAGCAGCAGCTTTTTGTGTAATGGCAGCTTGAATTTTTGTCAAAGATTTACGAGACAAATTGCTATCTTCACGACGTAAGGTAGTGGTGGTTCCTCCCTCTAATTTATTTTCATCTACTACATCAGCTTTAACTGTAAATAGAGAGGGATGGATTATTTTAAGTTTTTGTAATTTTGTAGGTGGGAGTGTTATACTGTTTTTACCTTTCACTTGTTGCACTTTATTCTCGATCACTTTTGTGGTCAACGTCTTAACTCGATTTTGTCCAACAAGCAAATGGGATGAAGCATGTCTTTGTAGTCCCAGTCCTGTGGTAGCTGTGCTAGTACCTAAACGCACCGAATTGGAACGTGTTAGGATTTTACGTTGCCCAGCTGCAGCAGTTGTTGCTGTTGTTGTTTTTTGTACTTCTCCAGTTGTTACATTTGTTTTTGTTCCAGCTACAGTAGGATTTGTGGTTGTTGTTGTTGTTGTGGTGGTGGTCTTTTTCCATTGTGTATCAACACGTGCTTTAGTGCCACGTAATGCATTTTGAAGTCTTGTATCCTTCAGGCTAAAATGGTAAATGAAATGTAGAAGATTTAGGAATATGTATAAAGGGAAATAATTCCATTTTATAGAAATGGCCTAGCTAATAGATAAGTCAATATATCTATGAATAAACTAGTACGTAGACTATTCCTCAGTGCAGGTCACACAATAGTTCAGAAACTAATAAAACGAGTAATCAATAGACTAGTTCATAGAGTAGTCTGTAGACTAATCATTACAGAAATCAGTAGGATAACCAATCAAGTAGTCCAAATACAAGTATATAGTGTAGTCCATAAAATAGTCTGAAGCTAATCAATAGACTGGTCAAAAAACAAATCCATAGACTAAACAAGTAAGAAGTTATAGTCGGGCGAGGCCGACCATATAATACCCTACACCTTTGACAAAAATATAATGTGATTTAGTTGCCATAATAAAGCATTTAAGTTGAATTGTACCTTACCTTAGATATACATACTTAAGCCGTTTATTGTTGAATAAAATTGTGGACATTTAAGTGAAATTTTGATGGGGGCTTTTCATAGGGGCTAGGGTCATATGAGAACCTATTATTATGGAATTCATGGGGGTCATCAAGTCTTGTATACAACTTGGTTTTTGCAGCTTTTTGTCGAGATATGAGTATATTAAACATAATTATGAACTTAAAAGCCCTATTCGGCGGGTTCGGTTGTATGGGGCTAGGTGAAATAATGGACCGATGTAAACCATTTTCAACAGGCTTCATCTACGGTACCATAAAAGATCATGTGCCAAATTTCATTGAATTATCGCCAAAATTACGACCTGTAGTTTGATTACAAGTTTTAAAAGCCCTATTCGGGGGTTCAGTTGTATGGGGGCTAGGTGAAATAATGGACCGATGGTAACCATTTTCAATAGGCTTCGTCTACGGTACTATAAAAGATCATGTGCCTAATTTCATTGAATTATCTCTAAGATTGCGACCTGTAGTTTGATTACAAGGATTACAAGCCCTATTGGGGGGTTCAGTTGTATGGGGGCTAGGTGAAATAATGAACCGATCTTAACCATTTTCAATAGGCTTCGTCCCTGGGACAATAGAAGATCATGTACCAAATTTCATTGAATTATCTTCAAAATTGCGACCTGTAGTTTGATTACAAGGTTTACATGGACGGACGGACAGACGGACGGACATAGCTAAATCGACTCAGAAAATGATTCTGAGCCGATTGGTATACTTTAAGGTGGGTATAGGACCAATATTATTGTGCGTTACAAACATCAGCACAAACCCAATATACCCTCCCCACTAAAGTGGTGTAGGGTATAAACATGGACTAGTCCCTGTACTAGACAAGAAACTTGTTCATAGCCTATTTAAGGGACAAGTCCATAGACAAGTTAATGGATTATTCCGTAGACTGGTTAATGGACCTGTATGTATACTAGTTTATTGATTAGTTTGTTGAGTATGTCGTGGAATAATCAAGAGATTAAATGGCGGTCTAGCATCTATCTTATGTGCTGAAGAAGTCTACTAATTTTATAGAATTGTCTAGAAATTGGTGAATATATTAAATAATGGACTAGTTCATATGGTTCATAATTTTAATAACATTTCTTCTTTTAAATTGGTATTTTACATTTTTAACTATTTCTAAAAATTTTCTGAAACCACACTTTTTGGGTTAAAGTAAAATTTTGCCTAAAACAAAAACAAATTGATCTGTTTACCAAAAAATCCGTTAAACTCAACGAAGATTTTTTCACTACTTTATCTTTCTCTCTCTAACACATGTAAAAGATATGTTAACTAAACAAAAACAAAGCTGAATAAAAAACAAAAACAAACATGTACAAGAAAAAAAAAAAAAAAAAAAAAAAACAAGACAGATGGAATGTCATAAAACAACCCTGGAATATTTTTTTGTACAGAATCAAAGAAAACAAAATTTAGTGATTTAAAAGAATTTTAATGAAATATTAAAAAAAAAAACTTACTCCTTTTGGGCAGCATCCTTAGCAGCGATGGTACGAACAACACCACGATTCTGTAAATCACCTAGAGCAGCTCGTTTTGTAACCTCAGTGGTGGTAAGACCACCAATTTTTTTGACTTGTTTAAAAGCAGCAGATTCATTCTAAAAGTAAAAAAATTAAACAAATATTTATAAAATTATATTGTTAATTGCTTTTAGGCAAAGAAACCAGCCAGCGCACTCCTAGCTGGGGGCGCCATTTTGTATAGAAATTGTTATTGGAAATAGGAATACCGGCAGCAGTTTAGAAAACTTTTGTTGTTGTTTTTGTTTAAACTAAAGGAGCCATCATGGTTGGAAAAGATTTCGAGACACCACCACAACACACAATTTGTTAGTTATTGTTGTTGTTTGCGAAAGGCAAGGAATGAAGGAGGGGGAAAAAATAAAATGGGAAATGTACCGTAAGTATAAAATAACAATTTTGTTTCAAGTTTTTTTTTTTTCTTCATCATACAAAAAGAGTCTCAGCTTCATTAAACGGTACTTTTCCGCGCCGTTCTTTAAAACCAAGGCTCCCTTTAGTTTAACTGCAAACTATTTAAAGAAGAAAAAAACTAAATAAAACTCACCTCGTCTACACGTTTTAAGACTGTGGTTCCAACCATTTTGTTAGCGATCTTTATTTAAATTAAATTTAATAAAATATTAGTTAATTAAACGATAGGTTTCTTTGGTAATTGGAAAAAACCTTTTTCGTTAATAAATTTAATATTTTTAAACACTTCTTTTCTTTTTTTAAAACGTTTGTGTCAAACTTCTTTATATATAAACTGACATTCAAATACACGTAGATTTTTTTTTTTTTAATTTTATAAATATTTATAAACACTTTTTGAAATTGTTAAAAATTGCACGACATAAACTAAATTGAACAATAAACGAGACTGAACTTTCTTTTAAATTACAATAATATATTTAAAGAAAAAATTTAAGCGAAAAATTTTATCTTTACGATCCGGACTCGAACCGTTGATGTTTGCTTTTGAATTAAATGTCGTTTGAATAGTCCCGCACTCTATTCGTTGAGTTGCGTTGGATTTTTTTCGTTGTTGTTGGTTTAAAATGCACTGCTAGAACTTAACGAAATTTAGCTGAATGTGCAGTGTTTGTTGTAGTTGTTGTTTAAAATTTTATCTATTCTATTGCGCTTATTTCGTTATGGCGCCCTTACAAAACATCATGTGGTTGGGTGGTGTTTAGTTTAATGTTATATTTGAAAGGTTTACTTTTTTAATATATATAAACATTAAATATAAAATATATAAAAAATATTTAAAAATTAAAATACTTTAAATGTGCCACAATTTGTTTGTAAAGTTGTGTAAGAAAGGTTTTAATTTAATTAAAATAAACATTAGTTTACGGCTGAATTAAGTTTGAGGGCAATTGTTATGTGTCCTATGCTCTTCAAACTGTATGAGTTTGAACGAAGCATTTAACAGAGTTGTATTTTTACAGCATTTGATAGTTGTAGATTAGCGTTGCCATTTATATTTTTTGTTGGTATTCGACTATCTAGTAAGTTGACTATCTAAATTGTGAAAAATCGACTCTCCACTTTTAAACATTGCATCACTTTTTGGTACTTTTTGAGTTTTCTATAAAATTGAACCTAGAAACATAAAATCATATTTATAGCGTCCTGATTAGGGTTCTATAGTTGAAACGAAAAGTCGACTTTTCGACTTTTTGCATTTAGTTAAAAGTCGACTTTTCGACCTTTCGACTTTTTACATTTTATGAAAAGTCGATTTTTCGACTTTTCGACCTTTTTCATTTATTTAATAGTCGACTTTTAGTATTTTATAAATGGTCGACTTTTCGACTTTTTCCGACTTTTTTCGACTTTTCGACTTTTTTCGACTTTTTCCGACTTTTTGATTTTTTACGACTTTTTGACTATTTTCGATTTATTTCGACTTTTTTCGACTATTTTTTTACTTTTTTTCGAGTTTTTCCGACTATTTTAGAGTTTTTGACCTCTTTTCCACTTTTTTAAAATTTTCGACTCTTTTCGACTTTTTTCGACTCTTCGACTTTTTCCGACTTTTCGACTTTTTCCGACTTTTCGACTCTTTTCGACTTTTTTCGACTTTCTTCGACTTTTTTCGACTTTTCAACTTTTTTCGACTTTCCGATTTTTTGACTTTTCGACTTTTTTCGACTTTTATTTACAAAGTCGACTTTTCGACTTTTTTCATAGACGATAGTCGAGTTATCGACTTTTTTGGAACAGAATAGTCGACTTCGACTTTTCGACTTTTTTCGATAAAAAGTCGATTGTTCGATTATTCGAAAGTCGATTTATAGAACCCTAGTCCTGATTGATTGATTCTGTACAATTTCAATAATGTTTGTTTTATTCCATTATGTTAAGGATAGGGAAGCACACTTGGTATAAATAGTTATTATGTGTAATAGGTATTTACTATATTTTCCTTCTAATATTTTGTTTCTCAAAAAACCTTTGAATTTTCCTCTTGTTTAACTTAAAGAAGATTTCAATCTTAAAATTAACTATTTAACAGAAGTGTTATTGGCATCCAAAATAAGCAAAAAGCGAAATCTATTGTAATTGAATTTTAACTTTTTGTTTATCTTTAAACAATTTATAGTTTCCGTTTAAAATATAAACTAAAGTTAAAATCTATTAGCATCATTATTAGCAGCGAAAAAAAAACCTACAAACATAAGAATGAATCTTTTATCTTTTTTGCTACATTAACACAATCTCAGAAATATCTATAACTGAAAAATGTATGCACAAAGGAAGTTCTAAGAAATACAATTTTACTTAAAACAATTAGATTTAAGTGTGGTCGACTATTTTATACATTAATTTAAGTCTCAAATAATAACCATGTTGATTAGAAATTAAGATAACTGAAGGTTATTGTAATTAGTTTTGAATTGAGAACTCTCCAACTGACAAAATACAAAAATAGCTGTGATCCCTTTTATTTCCCAAAATCGATTTTTATATGAAAAACATAACATCGGCTGTAGATTGAAAAATAAAGCTTGACTTTATATAGTCTGTGATAACTTAAAAATATCTTCAAAACCATATTTGTATATGGGGAATTTCATGTCAAGTGACCCAACTCAAAAAAATCGATTTCGACGAAATTTGCACTAAAGTTAGTACTATTGATAGTAGGTCAGACACAAATTTTTTTGCTCTATCGGTCAAGAACTAGACTATAGACTAGACTATAGACCAGACTATAGACTAGACTATAGACTAGACTATAGACTAGACTATAGACTAGACTATAGACTAGACTATAGACTAGACTATAGACTAGACTATAGACTAGACTATAGACTAGACTATAGACTAGACTATAGACTAGACTAGACTAGACTAGACTAGACTATAGACTAGACTATAGACTAGACTATAGACTAGACTATAGACTAGACTATAGACTAGACTATAGACTAGACTATAGACTAGACTATAGACTAGACTATAGACTAGACTATAGACTAGACTATAGACTAGACTATAGACTAGACTATAGACTAGACTATAGACTAGACTATAGACTAGACTATAGACTAGACTATAGACTAGACTATAGACTAGACTATAGACTAGACTATAGACTAGACTATAGACTAGACTATAGACTAGACTATAGACTAGACTATAGACTAGACTACAGACTAGACTATAGACTAGACTATAGACTAGACTATAGACTAGACTATAGACTAGACTACAGACTAGACTATAGACTAAACTATAGACTAAACTATAGACTAGACTATAGACTAGACTATAGACTAGACTATAGACTAGACTATAGACTATACTATACTAGACTATAGACTAGACTATAGACTAGACTATAGACTAGACTATAGACTAGACTATAGACTAGACTATAGACTAGACTATAGACTAGACTATAGACTAGACTATAGACTAGACTATAGACTAGACTATAGACTAGACTATAGACTAGACTATAGACTAGACTATAGACTAGACTATAGACTAGACTATAGACTAGACTATAGACTAGACTATAGACTAGACTATAGACTAGACTATAGACTAGACTATAGACTAGACTATAGACTAGACTATAGACTAGACTATAGACTAGACTATAGACTAGACTATAGACTAGACTATAGACTAGACTATAGACTAGACTATAGACTAGACTATAGACTAGACTATAGACTAGACTATAGACTAGACTATAGACTAGACTATAGACTAGACTATAGAATAGACTATAGACTAGACTATAGACTAGACTATAGACTAGACTATAGACTAGACTATAGACTAGACTATAGACTAGACTATAGACTAGACTATAGACTAGACTATAGACTAGACTATAGACTAGACTATAGACTAGACATAGACTAGACTATAGACTAGACTATAGACTAGACTATAGACTAGACTATAGACTAGACTATAGACTAGACTATAGACTAGACTATAGACTAGACTATAGACTAGACTATAGACTAGACTATAGACTAGACTATAGACTAGACTATAGACTAGACTATAGACTAGACTATAGACTAGACTAGACTAGACTAGACTAGCATATAGATTAGATGATAGACTAGACGATAGACTAGACCAATAAAATCGTTTGTCCCCTCAAATTTGTTCTATTACTTTTCTTACGATAAACCCACAATGCATTCCTACACATTTGTTTATTAGACCATCTGCAAAAATTCCACAAGTATGAAATGTTCTTCAAAGATCTAACATTAAACGAAGTACTTCTGCACATAAACAATTTAGTATTTCTTTTGTTCGAGAAAAAAAAAAATCTCCTCAACTCAACTGTGATGATCAGTGTCAAGATTTGACATACAACTTGTGGTCAAAAACAGTGCTGCAGTTTTTCTGTAAACAAATGCATATATTTCTATATGTGGGTGTATGGTCTGAATGTCTGGTATATTGTACATTCAAATGCCAACCAATCTAATGAGTTGCACAGGAAAAGCACTTGACCAGAACAATATTAGAATAGAATAAACAATAGGCACTTCTACAAAGATTCTAAAATAAGGCAATAAGAATAGAAAAACGCATTAAAAACAAAAGAACAAAACGGCCAACATTTTGTTTGAATTGTTTAAGGAAATATTAAAGAATTTTTAATGATGTATCAAATGATATTTATATACATTTGTAAATTTGACTATTTCAGCCGCTTCATAAAATATTTAATGTTCGTTTAAATGATGTATTAGTATTAGCTTTAATTTATACATTTTAAACTTTATTTCATTAATTAATGAAATTAAATAAAAAAGAAGATAAATTATTAAGTGATTTATATCGCACCCTGAACTTGAATAATATAATGGCATATTATTTTAATAATTATCATATACATATGTACACACTTGTAAATATTTAGATAATAAACATTATCTTATCTTAAGATTTTGCCAATCTACTTGTCACTACCGCTGAGACTATTATTTTATTTTCTTTCCTATTTGATCAACAAATATGATTAAAAATATTTACATTATTGTAAACTTGGCAAACTTTCTTATCACTTTTTTATTGTTGTTGTTGTTTAGTATTTATGCCAGACAATCAGTTATTAATTGCATTTTAAATAGTTTTAATAGTATAAATATGTAAATGTGTACTTTAAAAGAATTGGTACTACATTCTAGTCTAAAGTTTAGCCTTTAGTCGTAACTATAGTAGCCTATCAGGCTATAAATTGGAATATAATTAGGCAATAAACTGAACTACAGTCTTGCCTATAGTCGGGACTACAGTCCAGTCTATATTCGAGACTATAGTTCAGTCCATTGTCTAGACTATAATGTAGATTATAGCAGACATTATAGCTCAGTCTTTAGTCGAGAATATATTTTAGCCTATAGCCGATACAAAAGTACTATATATAATCAAGACTATAGTCCAGGGTCGAGACTACAGTGAAGTCTATAATCTAGACTGGTCTAATCTGTCCAGTCTATAGTC